GTGGAAATAATATTCAAGAATATTTTTTCCTTTTGGAACTTATATTATGAAGGAACTTCTATTCCGTGACAGAACAACATAATAGTGTGAGTAGATTTCACTCACGTCTTACAAATTTATATATTATGTTCTTTTACCTTTCCAGTCAAATTAGCTGACGAATTTTAGCCGAGTAATTACTGGTTTTTTAAATTATAAAAACAAACCGCATACCGCATTTCCCTAATGATTATCTTAATTAACGAGAATGTCCTAACCGCTAGAAGTGTTGGCGTTTAAAAGTAGATAGTAAATACACAAAAAAAAATGAAGGTATAGTAAGATAACACTGCGTTATATTTAACCAATGATTTATTTTATGCAATAGCAGGAACTGCATTCAACAATAATACATACATGTAATATTACATGTAAAAAAATAAAATAGTAACTTGCTCATTATTTGTTTTCAATCATTGTGATGATATATGACAATATATATTTGATCATTGTTTTTTGAATATTTTTGTGTTATACTATTGTATATTTACATGGTGTTGAATATTTGTATAAATATATCAATTATTCGATCGTTCTATTCATTTCATGCAGAAAATGGCACAGTGTCTTGTGAAGAACTATTGCCATAATAAATTTGTGTTGGATAATTTGGAAGAAGGTGATTTGATATCGATAAAGGAAAACATATTATATTCTCATTGGGCAGTATACGCCGGTAAGTTACATATATTGCAATTGTTTTTATGCCCCACCTAGTGGCATTGTGTTTAATTGGTGTGTGCGTCCGTTCGTTCTTCCGGCGTCCGTCCGTCCCGCTTCAGGTTAAGTTTTAGTTAACGATTTTGGTCAAGGTAGTTTTTGATGAAGTTAACACTTTCTTTACCAAATTGAACTGGATTGAGCGTCTCTAATGATGTCCAAAAAATTGGACGCGACATTCACCCGCCCGAATTGATTTCAATTAAAGTGCGTGCTTTTATACGCCCGTCAAAATTTTGACGGGAAGTATCATGGTATACAAATGTCGTCTGTCCGTGTGTACGTCTGTCTGTCCGGCGTAAACATGCCGCACCGTAACTTGAGAACGACTTATCCAAATTTCAACTTTACATAGTTGTTTCTAATTATGGTCAAACGATCTGTAAACTTTTTGGTGAAAATAAGATTAAAACCTTTTGAGTTACGGGACTTAGTAACAGACTAAAGCAGGTGTTTTTTTTCACATGTCGCGCCGTATCTCAAAAACAATTTATGATTATTGCTTAAAAAGGGGGAGGGTTTTTTCACATGTCGCGCCGTATCTCAAAAACGATTTATGATTATTGCTTAAAATTTTACACACTTCTTAGTTATGTTAATCTTAAGATCTGTATACTTTTTGGTTTGATTCAAAATTTTATTTTAGAGATATTGATTTTTTTTTTAAAGGGGGAGGGGTTTTTCACATGTCGCGCCGTATCTCAAAAACGATTTATGATTACTGCTTAAAATTTTACACACTTCTTATTTATATTAATCTTAAGATCTGTATACTTTTTGGTTTTGATTCAAAATTTTATTTTAGAGATATTGATTTTTTTTTAAAGGGGGAGGGGGTTCTCACATGTCGCGCCGTATCTCAAAAACGATTTATGATTATTGCTTTAAATTTTACACACTTCTTAGTTATATTAATCTAAAGATCTGTACACTTTTTGCTTTTGATTCAAAGTTTTATTTTTAGAGATATTGGTTTTTATTTTTTTTTAAAAAGGGGGGTTTTTACATTTCGCGCCGTATCTCAAAAACGAATAATGATTATTGCTTAAAATTTTACACACTTCCTAGTTATATTAATCTAAAGATCTGTGTACTTTTTGGTTTTGATTCATAATTTTCTTTTAGAGATATTGAGTTTTTTGTAAAAAAAAGTGGGGGGGGGGGGGGGGGGTTCGCATGTCGCGCCGTATGTCAGAAACTATTATGATTATTGAATAAAAATTCAAACACAAGACGACGTTCAAACCTATGATTGCGTTGGATAAAATCCGCAATTTTTATACGTGTGCATGCAAAACAAATTTCTTTGTAGAGGGGTCTAAATACAGCACAAACAACATTTTCCAAAAGACCAAAAAAGTGAAAAAGTATATTTTAACAAAACGCATTTGACTAGCAGGTCGAAAAACTGATGTCCTTAAACCCTGCTGACTGCCATGGCGATTGCCAAATAAACGGATCACAGATGTAACACAATGGATCTTAATTATATTAATTTAATACCAAACAGAAAACAATAAACTTGCGGAAAAGACGTTATATCGCAAACATGAGGTGCAAAAATTTGTACACCATATCCGGATTTCGACAATTAATGTCTCTTCAGTGATGTTAGGAATCGAAACGGTATTTGGAAGGCCATATAATTTACCTCAATTTGGGATTGACTCTTGAATTTTGAAGAGTCGAAATAGGATGAACGGATCATATAAACCCGAAGGCAAATATAATACAAGCCCAAACGAAAAAATATAAACAAGTCTAAATTGAAATATATATATTCAAAAATGTGAATCAAAACCCCACAAACAGGTTTCGACGTTTAAAAATTATCTCTGCCTAAAATACATAAAGGTTTCTACGGAAGCGTATTAGAGCAACACAAATTTTTTTTATATTTCTTTTTATGTTTGCAAACTTTGCAAAATAATGCAAACGTTTGCCAAATAACGCAAACATTTGTTTTATCTCATTCTTTATTTAAGTTTCAAGGGAAGCAGCTGTTATAGATGGAGGAGGCTGCATATATTAACATTTATCACCCTTTGTACGTTTTGCAAAGTAAATTGCTTGAGTGTTCAGCATATATCATGGCACAATAATGAGCAGAAGAATACATGTTGGTCTTTACGATAAACTTTGGAATCTACAGGCCTGATGATGAATTTTACGAAAATGTTATTGCGATTCTATTGGCCTGTAGATATCATGTTTACAGGCCCAACAGCATTTTTACAAGCCTGAACTGGTGGTCCTGTGGTTAAGCGAGAAGACTGCATGTATTTATATATGTATCACAAAGAAAGTTGACTAAATTGAAGTTATACCGAAAAAAATTACAAAAATTAACCCTGTTAGTATAGCCAAATTTGAATATACTTCCAAAGTAAGCGCTCGTTTGAGCATTGTGTAAGCTTTGGTCAGATCATAACAAGCCACCATATTGAAATAAAAGTATAAAATGAAGATTTTTTATTATTATAATTATGTACTCTTCATTCAAATTGCTACCCAAGCATCGAAATAGCTACATCACTAGATTGAAATTCAAAACCCCTTTTTAGCTCACCGGGGCCCGAAGGGCCCCATGTGAGCTTATGCCATCACTTGGCGTCCGTCGTCGTCCGTCGTCTGTCGTCGTCGTCTGTCGTCGTAAACTATTTCAAAAATCTTCTCCTCTGATACTAATGGGCCAAATACCTTCAAACTTTAACTAAATGTTCCTTAGGGTATCTTGTTTATAAATTGTATCCGAAGTTTTGATCCATCGACAAACATGGCCGCCATGGCTAAAAATAGAACATAGGGGTCAAATGCAGTTTTTGGCTTATATCTCAAAAACTAAAGCTTTTAGAGAAAATGTGACATGGGATAAAATTGTTCAATTGGTCAAGATCTATCAGCTCTGAAATTTTCAGACGAATCGAACAACCCATTGTTGGGTTGCTGCCACCGAATTGGTAGTTTTAACAAAATTTTGCAGTTTTTTGTTATTATTTTGAATATTATCACAGATATATATAAACTGTAAGCAGCAATTATGTTCAGCAAAGTAAGATCTACAAAAAAGTTAATAAGACCATAATTGTCAATTGACCCCTTAAGGAGTTATTGCCCTTTAAAGACAATTTTACACGATTTGTTTATCAAGTTTGCTAACATTTTACAATCTTCTCCTCTGAAACTACTGGGTCAAATACCTTCAAACTTTAACTAAATGTTCCTTAGGGTATCTTGTTTATAAATTGTATCCGAAGTTTGTATCCATCGACAAACATGGCTGCCATGGCTAAAAATAAAACATAAAGGTCAAATGCAGTTTTTGGCTTATATCTCAAAAACTAAATCTTTTAGAGCAAATGTGACATGGGGTAAAATTGTTTAATTGGTCAAGATCTATCGGCCCTAAAATTATCAGACGAATCGAACAACCCATTGTTGGGTTGCTGCCACCGAATTGGTAGTTTTAACAAAATTTTGCAGTTTTTTGTTATTATTTTGAATATTATTATAGATATATATAAACTGTAAGCAGCAATAATGTTCAGCAAAGTAAGATCTACAAAAAAGTTAAAAGACCATAATTGTCAATTGACCCCTTAAGGAGTTATTGCCCTTTAAAGACAATTTTGCACAATTTGTTCATCAAGTTTGCTAACATTTAAAAATCTTCTCCTCTGAAATACAGGTGAGCGATTCAGGCTCTGAGAGCCTCTTGTTGTTTTTACCCCAAAAATCTTTATATTATTCTGAGAATTCCATATTCATTTTTTTAATTCAAAATAATTCATTTTAAAGCCGAAGGATCATTATACCGGTACTTCCGCTTTACAAAAGTGGGGTATACTGTTTTACCTCTGTCTGTCCGTCCATCCATCCGTCAGTCCATCCGTCAGTCCGTCCGTCCGTCCCATGAATATTTTTCGTCGCACCTTTCCCAGGACCTACATTCATCACTCAACAACTTCCTGTTTACCGTGAAGCATTTCGGTGGGGGGTATCATCAGTGAGCAGTAGCTCGCAGTTTCACTTGTTTGGTCTATTTGACTTCATGGTTTCACAAATGATTCTTGTTTTTACTCTACTCTACTTTGTCACTTCCCGTAAATCAAAGTTTTCAAAATTTTCCCTAGTTATGCCTTATCTATTTGTTTAAAGCAAAATATAATGAATCGATAGACAACCATTGTTATTGACGTATTGTCATCATACTGTTGGATTGATTTAAGTTGTAAATTGGTATATTTTAGGCCATTCAGAGGCAAGGACATCGTTAAAAGAGCACTCAGTATGATAGGTCCAAATGCATACAATTTATTTTGGAACAACTGTGAACATTTTGCCACTTGGTGTCGATATGATAAAAAAAGATCCGGTCAGGTAACGTATGCTAATTTATGTATATAGGTAATAAAAGATACAAGGTAAAGCTTAGTTCTAGCCATTTTCGAAAAGTCATCTACACGGACACTTATACCGACACCGATACCTACACTGACTAAAAAAATAGAGGGAACGTATCAAATTGTCGAAATATACTGAATGAATAACCTCGGTAAATGTTTAGTCTGCCCTTCCACAAAATATTTAAATAGATTTTTTATAATTTTTTTTTTTAATTTTCGAATATTCCACCTGAAAACCAATCAGCCAATAGCTTCTAGTTGACAAAAGGCCTAAAAGTACATAAAATGATGCTTTATAGTCTGTAAGTACATTTGTCTTCTAAAATATAACCATGCCCATGTGCTAAATTTATCTGTTTTCAAGAGTACATGGGTCGGCGTTTTGGAGATAATTTTGACGTAGTAGGCTCCCCATTTTTCCACAAATTATAGTATGATGATCGACCAATTCATAGATTCTAAACAGAGCCAATAGGTTAACAAATCATTGATAAAGAATTGTTTTATACAGTATTCAAAATGAAAATTAGATAAATATTTTATAAATGCCTGTGTTCATTGTAAATTTTGAGCATGTTGAGATGATTCCTCTTAAAAAGATTACTTCTCGTCCTAGGTATAGGTGTAAGCGTCAGTATCGATAAGTTCTCGTCAATGTCTAGTTATTCACCTTCATACACAATGCAACCAGAAGGATATACGATAAAGTGGACAGCATAATGTTTTCAACAACTGGCACATGCCTACATGCCATTTTGTTTTTCTTTGTTGACATTGTTATTTCTTCTTATAGTAATTAAGATTATAACACAATGTTAACTGATGTACCCTAATTTTTTAAGTTTTTGTCTATTGTGTCTGTTTGTTTTGTCACACATTCTTGTCGGTATAATGGAATTTTATGCGACTATCATACGGCCGAGAGGTTTAGCTAGCTATTAAACCAGGTTTAATCCACCCTTTTCTACATAAGAACATGCCTAAATGTCTTTGCCAAGTCGGGAATGTGACAGTTGTTTTCCATTCGTTTGATGTGTTTGAGATTTTGATTTTGATTTATTTAGTGAGGAAAAAACTAAGACTTATCATTTCCGATCAGTCGCCTCTATCTTTTTTTCAAAAAGTCATTGACTTTTGACAATCTAAATCTGTTTATGGTAAACAAGATTTTCATGTCAAAATCGTTTAAATGGCAACTTGAAAACGCCTCTTTTTTTCTTCATTTTTAAAATATGTGTAGGTATATGAAAAAAAAGGTATATCTATACTTATTGTCATTGGTATTACACGTTGCGCATGTTGCGTTCTTATTTACTTGATAAGGACGATATATTATATGAATATCTAAACTCTTGTATGATTATTACCTTCGTAGTAAGGACGTTATCAAGTCTACTTGAATTTTCAATGAATCTAGCCTATAATCACCATGTTCACATATGATAGTATGGTTTCAGGTTGACAAGGCTTTAACTGTGTTTTCAGTAGTTGGAGGGATCGCGGTAGCTGCAGGATTGTTACACGAAATGTTCAAAGACGATGAATGAAATCGAACAGGTATGGCAAATTAACTTCATGCGTTTATCAAGATCTTACCAAAATATCAGTATAATACTAAGGCAAACAAAGGATATGGGGTATCTATCCATGACAGTATGGTCGTTTATATTTAGCACAAATCGACACGGTATCAGTGTCACCACACACTTCTTGGTCAATGCATATTTCTTTATTGAAAAATGCCATGTTGATTCCCCAATGATTGAAAGCATGGTACCATTGTAAAGATATACAAATATAAAATACATTGTAAAAGCAATTTTTTTTCTTCATTTTCTAAGAAAGAAAGAAAGGTGGATACCAAAATGACCATCAAAACTTGTATGTCAATAAAAATAAATGACAACGCCTTCGCAACAAAAAAAAAAACGAAAAGACGAACAAGTCAGCAAGGATAACTAAAGATTGAGCAAACATCAGTATACCATCAGACAAAAAACTCATCGAAAAATAATAACTTTTGAATATGATGTTGCGCACTAAACCCCAATAGGTTTTTTCAAAAGTTTGCAGTTATGTAAACTAGTGGCAAATGTAATTCTCAGGATAAAAGAACCGGGCAAACCTGCATGCGGACGAACATGACTATGGACGAACCTGCGTGAGGACTAACAAGATTAGGGGCGAACGTGCTAGTGGGAAACCGGACCCAGATTATCTTTTTATTTCAAACTGTTGTGATTACACACAACAAAGTTCGTTGAGGTGAACATTTTGTCGATTTCATTCATTGCCTTATTTACCAATTTATAATTATACATGCACAGCTATCCAATTTTCAAAAGGTTATTAGTTATTACCAATTTAAAAAAAAAACGTGTTTTTTTTTCCACAGAATTTACAGAAAGTAGTCTATTGTGTGAATATCGGGTTTTTTTTCCCCAAGAAATTGCAGAAAGTAGTCTATTGTGTGAATATCGATTTGCTATATTTTCAGTTGTATTGGAAACTCAATAGAAAAAAATGTTTTGATTAAAATAATGTAAGTTTTAAGTCCGGAGGGTATATCAAAGGTAATCTTAATCCTACAGTAGATTACCTTTGCAACCAGTTAATGTTAGGATTAGATTATATAAGGAAATGTCAATCCTATGACTCCTATTATCATGTATTGTATGAAAGTAACTTGAAAGACCTTCTTAATGTAAAAAAAATTTAAAAAAAAACAAAACAATCAAACTACTTCTAAGGTTTATAGAACTTTTGTGAGTTGGTTGAATTGTATGTGTTTTATTTCTAACTGGACAGTGAATAAACTTAAATCACGTACATAGCCAGTATGTAAACAGTTTAAATATATTGTGAATGTTATTTCTTTTGTTTGCAGGTGATACAGATGTTTGCTGGTTCGTCACAAATATATTTGGACAATGTTTGAAGAATACTGTTGTTGACCGATATATTTAAGTTACATCTTAATTTATTTTATTATAGTAGATACATCTCTCCTTCTAGGAATAAAGTTTGAAATAAGCTTATTTTCATGTCTATAATTTTACAATCTGAACGATGTAAGTCTAGAAAATTATATATTGTGCACAGTCCAGCAGCATGTATATCAAATTTTTGATGTCCAGCTGATTTGAGTTAAAAAAAAAAGAGAGGTGAAAGATACCAAAGGGATATTCAAACTCATGGGTCGAAGATAAACTGACAACGACATGGCTAAAAAGACAAAGACAAACAACATGGCACCCGTCATGTTGCTCATGTAAGTACAAACCCGGTGATAATTCTAGTAAATTTCGTAGGTCACATTCGGGGAAAGGGGTGGATTGAAGTTCAATTGGATCTTATCCGTCGCCATCTATGAAACAGATATTCCATAACGTTTAACCAACTAACGATGTCGTCCGTAAATATACGAAGGGATGATTTCAACTTCACCATTTGGAACTCTTGGTTTAGTAGCTTCCTTGTGAGCAGCAATTCTCTATCAAGGAAATGATGATAGAAAATATCAGCCCTGGAATATCGTATCAACTGTAGGGAGATATATATACACAGTATGCAGGCGCTGCTGGAATGTTGCTACATAGAAATGGAAAGTTCACAACTGGGAAGCTGAAATCATCTCTTTTGTCTTAAATTAAAGTTTTGTTTTCAATCGACCCTCATTAACAATTTCTTGATGTAAGTCAATAGATTAGGCAGACTTAACTGTATCTGCTGTAGCCTTCATCTAAAGTTTGGTGGGATTGATGCGTTGAACATAGTCTCCAAATTCCGAATTATTTAATAAGAGACAATCATCTGTGTAGTGGAAATTGAAGTTTCAGGATACTAAGTACTACTAAGTTCTTTTCTTTCTTCATAAGGTTCCCTTGTATAAAGTCAGCCTCATATGAATAAAGAACAAGTCGTCAAAAAGAGGAGTACAGTTGGTTCCCATGGGAATGTCGATTGTTTGTTGAAAAACACGTCCTCCAAACGTTACAAATATGTCTATCAAGAAATCAAGCATTTTGATAATGTCAGTTTCAGAGAATTTCTTGTTGGAATCATTATGATTTTTTACAAAGTACGATTTATTCCTCCCTAAGACAAGATACGTGTATCTACGTTGGCCATTCTTTTTAATGAAACAAAGCAGGACCAACTCTTTCAATTTTTCTTTTAGTTTGGAATTAGGAATGCTTGTGTAAACTGCAGAAAAGTCAAAATTTAATGTTTGAATACTATTGCAAGATGAAAGAGTCTAAGATTGTATGTACTCTATAAGATCTTCGGGATTTTTAAGTAACCACCCCTATGGAATAGCTAGTTTCACAATAACTGTGAAACCCGGCATTGCTTTCTGATAAAATTGATGTTAATAACTTAGAAAGAAGTTTCGTGGAGTACTTTGAAGACCAAGCAATATAACGTTGTTTGTAGGGATATCTATGTAGAAAGTAATATAACAAAATACCGAGCTCCAAGGAAAATTCAAATCGAAAAGTCTCTTATCAAATGGCAAAATCAAAAGCTCAAACACACCAAACGAATGAAAAACAACTGTCATATTCCTGACTTGGTACAGGCATTTCCTTATGTAGAAAATGGTGGATTAAACTGGGTTTTATAGCTAGCTAAACCTCTCACTTGTATATCAGTCGCATAAAATTCTGGTATCCAATACAGTGAAGAAAGATCCAGTTCTGCATCCTCGGTTGAAAAGTGTCATGGGGGTATATTGAGTTTCCAAGTGAGTTGTCAATACCTAATTCATCTATCAAGCAGTTTATGCAATGTGATTTATACACTAAAACGATGTTGTTTGGGGCTTTATCTGTGGGGACAACAACATGTGTGCCATGAGGGTATGACAGGTGTTTTGCAACATTTGGGCCTTAAAAATTGATGTAGCATTGGTATTCATAGACCCATTCAGTTTTTAAGGTCTGATTTGTATCAACGATCTCACACACTTAATCCATTCGAAATGAGTATCTACGTCTTCTTTCTCGTGTTTAACCCATATCCTGGCTTAATCTTCGCCTGAATCCATCAGTGTGTGGAAGTTGTGTTGCCATTTGATGGATTAATGTTCACAATATAGCGGGCCTTTGGATAACACATTTCGCAGAGAAGTGTTCTTGAAAATGTTTAGGTTAGCATTAATAACGTGGCAATCGGATTATATATGAATGGGGAACTAGCACAGGGGCAATCAGGAGGTTTAGACTTATATTCGTCAATATTGAGATCTTGCAGCACGTGTTAGTAATTGTAAACTTTAGTTACAATTGGATTGGTATAGGTATCAGAAATGATAGTAGTATACTGATCTTTAAAATAGGGAGGATTTTTCGAGTGAACTGATTTATACTGAAGGACATTGCCTAAGTTCGTGGCATCCAGATCTCTGTTGGCAAAGGAATTTTTCTGAAAGGATCTTTGCTCTTTTTCATCTTTTCGAATGCCGACTGGTTTGAACAGTCTCATGAGTCTGTGACTGGAAATATCCGACATGATATCTGTAAGTTTGCATTGATTTGAATGGGGGTTTGTAACAGTGGTTTCCATACATAAATTGTACAGAGAATGAAGTTTTGAAAGGGGTAATGCATAAAGATAGCTTCGTGCGCATGTGATGAATACCTAACAGTTTTTGTATAAACATGATAAATGGCAGTAGGTAATTAATAGAGACATCATGAACAGTTGGTAATGTGTAATGACGATGACCATGACTGCGTCTATGTCAAGGAGTAGAGTTGAAAATGTTCATCACGTTCATCGGGCTCCAGGAAGGGATAGTTAGAGTATTTATACCATCAATGTTGTCATTGCAACTATATGGTGTAGCAGATTAAGCGCCATTGATGAATCTTATCTAGACAAAACGTCTGTCTAACGTACTAAATGTTTGCCTAAAATTTAATATAAGTATACCCATATGAAAATCTTTTAGTCCAGTAATAATGAACGAGACAGGTTTTTGCTTTCGAACAAGTAATGTATCGGTTTCTGTTGTATACCAATCTACAGTACTCCGCCATTAGTATTCTTAAAAATAACAATGTCGGTCACGTCACGGTAAGGTTAACATATTTTTTCCGTCGACTCAATGGCAAACCGGGATGACAATGGACCTAAAGAAAAACATGTGCTTGTCATGTGTCAAGTGCGTAATGACGTCAAAGTCGTCTGCATTCAAACTGTAGTTATTGTAAACAAAAAAATGGGTGACAATAGACAACAACTGAAATTTGATAAGAAAAGTCATCTCACTGCATTAAATGATGTAAAATTATCGAATTGACAGGCACCAAACAGATTATAGTCTACTGTTTTTTTAGAAAGTATGAACATCGGGGTAATATTGAAAACATTCAGAGATCAAGCAGACCAAAACAATCTTTGCATGACCGGGACATGAGAAAATGTTCCCGTTGTGTAAAAACATCGCCGTAAATCTCTGTCCATTGTCAATATTGTCAATAAGATGTGGCCAGTGCTTGTTTGTCATTTTCCCAATGAAGACTACGTTTTTCACTATGAAAATGCCCACGTCCATTGGGCTCTATCTGTTCAGGGTTATTGTAGAGAACGGGTTTTAAAAGCATGAATAGGCCAGCTCATCAATAATATTGAGAACTGTTGGTGGCGATAAAAAAAGGGAACTTTAGAAACGTACTCAAAACATAAACAATACCAAAGATCTAGAACGTGAAATCCGCGACATATGGGACAATTTGACTTTATGTACTTGAAATCGTTGTATAACAGCATTCCTAGGAGGATTTTATGAGACATGAAGAGTAAAGAAGACATTGCAAAGTATTATGGATTGAATAATTGTGTAAGTTGTTCGATGATTGAAGTTCTTTTCATGTGAAGATTAACATCGACTTGCGGCCATTTTGTCTTTACGAGAACTTATGGCGGACAGCCTTGATATACATGTATCAAAGGGCAGTAAACTAATTGTGTGTCTAGATTTACTTTGTTGCGTTCCCGTTCACCATTTTTACCATGTTGATAATTTTAGATAGATTAACTTGAAACCTAAAGATTACCGGTTATGATTTTTTTAAAGAAAATTTATGGAATTTATTCTAAATTGTTGTATTTCATTATCATACTTTTAAACAGCCGCTAAAAGCATATGATATCAAACAAAGGGGGGAGCAAAACCATTATAAACCGTATTAGCATAAAGCTTATAAGAAGTGTATTAGTGCAATGCATAACTCTAATCCTGTATATATATATATTTTATAGGGAAGAAAAGGTATTCTGATATAGTTGTAAACGAACTAATATTATAAATTTAACATTTCCTTTTACATGTAACATTAAAAAGTGAACTTTAAATAACGTGCATCTGGTGTAGGAAAACATTTGTACCGTTAATATAGTTTTAAAAAAAAATGGGAAGAATGGTAGTTTGTACCTCTGTGTGAACAGGAATTATCATTGATATGGTCATAATAATTAATAAAATTTTTACAAATTTTTTTGAAATATTAAGGATTTTCTACCTAGGAATAGATTACTTGAGATGAATTTGTCAAAATATTTTGGAATTACAATGCTCTTCAACTTTTTTTGCCTTTTACATTATTTTGATTTGAGTGTCACTGATGAGTAATTGTAGACGAAACGTGCGTCTGTCGTATAAAATTGTAGTGCTGGCATCTATGATAAGTTTATTTTCATAATGATTAAGTTGAAAATGATTAGCAGTATTTATCATGTTTATAGAGGTCCGAACTAAAGTGTATAGTAGGTTTCCTGTAGATCTCACTGACTAAAAAATGTATTTTGATACAAACATGATGACAAAAAAAAAATCAAAAAGCATGTCATTAGACATTTAGTAGGCCTATTGTATGCACTAATGGTGCATTGGTCTTATTTGTTAAAGGTGATTTTGACATTATCCTTTATCATTGAGATTTCTAGGAAAAATTACTTTAAAACAATGTGAAAAGGTTTCA